CCTCCCTACAGGTGCCCCAACAGGTCACCCTCCCTCCCTACAGGTGCTCCAACAGGTCACCCTCCCTCCCTACAGGTGCCCCGACAGGTCACCCTCCCTCCCTACAGGTGCCCCGACAGGTCACCCTCCCTCCCTACAGGTACCCCGACAGGTCACCCCCCTTCCCTACAGGTACCCCGACAGGTCACCCGACAAGTCATCATCATCATCTCGGTTCGTTATTTTAGGGCAGGTCGAGTCCACTATCTTATCTGAATGATGTAGGGTGTGTGTGAGTGTGTGTGACTTGCTAGCGTGACGCACCTTGCCCTTCCCTTCATGGATGTAGGAAAAGAAAGGTCAAAGTTTGGTTGAGTTTTAATTTTAGAACATGTCGAAAAAAAATATTACTTTCGGAGTTTGTTTATTCTTTTTAGTGACCAAAGGAAACATGAAAAAAAAACAAAGCAAATCTAACTTAACCCATCCTAACCTAATCTAACTTAACCCATCCTAACCAAATCTAACTTAACCCATCCTAACCAAATCTAACTTAACCCATCCTAACCAAATCTAACTTAACCCATCCTAACCAAATCTAACTTAACCCATCCTAACCAAATCTAACTTAACCCATCCTAACCAAATCTAACTTAACCCATCCTAACCAAATCTAACTTAACCCATCCTTACCTAATCTAACTTAACCCATCCTAACCAAATCTAACTTAACCCATCCTAACCTAATCGCTTAAAGTGCATTTGTTTGATCACTTATTAACGGTATTTATATAAAGAATTACTTTTTTCCTATCATTTTTTTTTTGTCCTGGTCTAATTTGACTTTTTTTTCTGGGACTATTTTTCCGTGCACTGCCCTACACCATCCTATCCTGTCTATCCTACCATGCCCTGCCTATCCTTTGTCTTGCCTTGTCTTGCCCTGCCCTAAGCTACCCGAAATGTGAAAACTGGTCTTAGTATGCAAACACACACACACTTCAAAACGTACAGGATGCAGGCAACATGACCCAGCCTTCACACACACACAACTTATTCCCTCTCCCCCTCTTGCACTCTCCTGCCCTCTCTCTCCCTCACACTCACTCCCTGTCTTTGCCTTGTCATAGGTGTTTTGCGTGAACTTAAAATGTATGTGTGCGTGTGTGTGTACGTTGAGATAAAATTGAGGAAGTGTTTTGATAAGATTATTTAATGATATGAAGACAGCAGCAACAATAATAATAATAATAATTTACCTCATATTTAGATCAACATAATCACAAACGTTCTTCATCATTATTGTCTATGTTCTTTTATAAAAACAAAACAAAAGCGTGAACAAGTTATCAAAACCCGAAATAACACTCATGCAATCTGTTCCTCTTTACAGATAAAAAAAAATGTCAATACAAATACTCGCACGCATTAAGCGATGTGAAAAAGCGAGTAACAAAAAGAAAAAAGTTGGATCACTCCACGCACCGCCACGTCATTGAGTCTAAACTAACGCGGGAAAACAATATTACAACGGATCACTGATAGACACATACACACACAAAAAACGACGCTATTGTGTTCCAAATTCTACAGCCTTTACTTCGTGTAGCGAGAAATCGGTGAGGAGGGGAGGAGTGAGCGAGTTTCTCCGGGCGTGGCTTGAGAAATCCGTAACACATCCAAGTGGCGACTTTCCACGACCAGGTTAGGAGGCACTCACGTCCTGGCCGCCCCCCCCCCCCCAACACGTGCCTCCCCTCCTGCACCGCCTCCGTCAGTGGCCACAGAGACGTGGGGGAAACTCGCCAAGAAATGCCACCGCCCCGCTGGCTACTGCACAACGATGGCGCCTACTTGTACGACTGTGTTTGTGTGTAGTGTCTGTGGTCTGCGGCGTGATGTAGACCCCGGGGGAAAGCTGGTGTATTGACACATGAGATTGTCTGATGTATACGAGAGAGAGAGAGACTCACATATATAAACACAGGAGTTGCGGTATACAGTAATTGGGACCGAGCGATAATTTCAGTGTCATTTCTTATTTCTTCTCGTAAATTTCACCTGGTGCGTAGACTTGGTCAATCACGCAAATAAAAACAAAAACTACAAGTAAATGCAATCAGTACTGACCTAACCTAATGTATGTAAAGCTTGGGTCGGCATAAGTAGTGAAGTCAGTTTTACCGTGAATGCAGTAATTTTCATGGTTATAACAAGACTAAAAATATTATCTCCATTTCGCAATTGAATCCGTAAAGGGTAAGGTATTGGGACTGATTTAACCGAACAAAAATCTCAAACTACACACTAAAAAGGAAAACCGCCCAAGTAATCCTTAAAAACACAACTAATGTGTTTGCCAAAGAGGGATACCTTTTTGTTTTTTTCTTACAAATTAATGGAAATTAGTTTATATATACGGTAGTAAAAGTAGTTTCAGGATGTCGTTTGCTGCGTAACAACCAAACTACTGTATAAGGAGTCTAGTGATGATGGTTACTTATCATCGTCCCTTTGTACAGCCCAGTTTTATTATTGGAATTTTGTTTTAGTTATTATTATTTTGCCATATGTGTGGGGGGGGTGGAGGGGGGAAGCTGCAGAAATACAAATTCTGGTTGTCTGAACGATGACTGTGACTTATAGAGAAAATTGAACGTAAGTGATAGAGAAAGTTGTGGGAAAGAGAATGTTGAAATGTAGACATGCTCAACCCGCGCCACACAAGCCTAACACTACCACAACTTTTTAAGGTAACTGAAAATGGTCAAAGCAAAGACTTAGAGCAAGACACACCCTCGAGTTAAAGATCACTGTGTATTTACAAATATTTTCCTCAAACAAAAAACTTAAGGAAACAAGTCTTGGCAATCGTTCTCTACAAACACAACGTTATCACCAATGGTCTATAGAATTATCTGATCGCTTATTCAGAGCAGATTTTGCAAGACAGCGCAGAGAGCAATAGTGAATTCTTATTGTGGGTGGGTTAGGGCGGGGTGAAGGGCGCGCCTGGTTGTCACCGTGCGGGCGGGAAGGAGTCCACTGTAAACAATGACAAGGGTGGCCATCACTCTGGTATCGACCCACACCCTCCCTTCTCCACCACCTCCTCCATGCTAACACTTGCTTACTTTACCTCTAGCTTACATAGTAACCCTCTCAGTAAAAACTTGTGTGGTATACCTCATGTTTATAAAATTTATCCTTCTACATAAAGCATCAGTATTGGTGAAAATTTTACTTAAGATAAATTCCTTAATGATGTACAGAAATTAGATAGCTAATTAGTAGTTCTGTATTGTTACATTTCCTTTGCTTGTGTTAATATAAGATATACTGAAGAAACACACAACATATCAAACAAAACTCACGCATCTAATAGTGTATAAATGAAGAAAAATTGACTAAAATGCCTGCATATCCCACCCGGAGACGTGTACTTGTGGGCTCGTGTGGCTAGCGAGGATTGAGGGAGCCTAGCGCCCGCCGCCACCCTCCCTCCCCCCTCCCTCCCGTCTGCTACCTCCTCCACACTCACATCAAACCCGGATTTAATTCAGGGAGGCTGCCAGTGTGCATAAACCCCCTAACTAATATTACACTATGCTTACATATGGCTTTACACATTTAGAAAAATAAAACAGAAAGAGAACTACAAAACATTTGGTAAACACTGACGAGGATGTAAAACTTGGCCGACGATTACGGTGGACGCGAGGCCGCAGGTCTGCTTCTGTTTTGTTGATACAGAACTAAAAGTTATAAAGATTTAATAATGTAAAGTTAACTATAATCTCTCAGGGAGTAAACGGACCATATCTTACCGGAGAAAATCCTATTCTCCGTAAGCTAAAATTTCCTCACCAATCTGGACGAAACCCCACCAGTTGAAGTGGATCATCGTCCTAATACCCTGTTAAATGAAAGTTAGTTTAGGCTGTAAAGCTTGTCCTACAGTTGTGTCAGTGTGTGACCAGCGAGGACCCAGGTGCTAGCGATGGTGGTAAACAAACACAAACATGTAACATAAATACACTACTGACACATCACCGTCAGTAAGCCGTGGCCACCACTAGTTACAGTGTCAGCCAGCATCACAACCCTGGCCTGGTCCATCAATCAGTGTTTACAATAGTGTATCAGGCCAGGGTGAACTTGCTGCCTTTCATGACCATCACCACAACCTTCACCAACCACACCAAGCAGCGGGCGTCGCTCATACAACAGCCTTAAAAAATGATATATATATATATATATATATATATATATATATATATATATATATATATATATATATATATATATATATATATATATATATATATATATATATACTTTAATAAATACAGCTTGGTTGGTACACCACTAACGAAATTTCTTTGGGTGATACTAAAATGTGAAATATATGCGGGAACACCTGGGCGAGCAGGTGTGGCCCACACCTGTGTACCGTTCTCCCTTCTCTACCAATACTCTTCGTTCTTTTCATATACCAAAATAACCACCACAAGTGTGAGTGTCAGGCGACGGCCACAATCACCCTACACTCCAGGGTATATAATAGAACAAGCGGGGGACAATGACAAACAGCAATAACATTACCTAACCCGCCATCACTAGGGTCCCTCACCTCACTCTTAGGCTGTTATAATGTAGCACTGCACCACCCTGAAGAGGCCAACCACTAAAAGCACTTCGTGGCATCGTCCACAACCTTTGCATATTGTTGAAGTGTGAATAATGTTTGTTCAAAGAAGTGATGTTGGAACACACGCGAAAATAGGATTATGATGTAATATACAGGACAGGGCGAGGAAAAATATTCCCTCTGCGTTTTCCTTAATGAAAGTTACTGTCATGGCTGACTGAATAGCCTTCGTCAGCATAGAGGGACTGCGACCGCCTCCTCATTTATATATGACAAATTTGTTTTAATTTGTTTCATTTTACACTTATTTCTCTTCACCCTGTGTGACTTGGTCCCTGACAGTACAATACATGTTACACCGGACACCTACCTTGAGACTCTTGCATCTTGGGTCGAGGAAGCTGGCGACGTGGTGGAGGGGCGTGAGTGTCAGGGCATCCGTCAGGCTACTGGCCAGGTGCTGTTTCAGCTGCTTGAGGGGCTGAGAGTTGGCGGGGGCAGCACACAGTTGCAGCAGTTTAGCTCTGCACAACACTGCCTGGTTTAGTGTAGGGCGCAGGGGGTCGCGCACCGTCAGGAGGCACCGCCGCACGCCTGTCAGGAGCTCAGCCACCTCCTGGTAGGCGAGGCGCTCCCCCAGCAGGGATACACCGCCCTCACAACCTGCCATTACAACGCACAGCTCGTCATGATGAGCAGTGATGAAGGTGAGGGCATGCAGTAGGGCGTCCCAACGTCGCACCTCGTGGGGCTTCAATCCACACCCCGTAACGCTCGCTACCCCAGAGTCGGCGAGGAAAGCCAAAACAGCTGCCACGTCGTCACAGATCTGTTGATAGGAAGGCTCATCCGTCAGTGCCTCCAGCACGGCCTCCGTCGCGTGCCATACACAGCGTACCCCCACCACACCAGGTTCGGCTGGACTTCCCTGATCGCTTACCACAGTGACATGTTTGTCTCGCATGGCTGCTGGCACCAACACGTCGCTGAAGAAGTTCGCCAGGAGAGCCGTCACTGCTTCTTCTTCAGTCTCCTGCTCCCCAAGACGATGAGCACCCAAGGCATAGCTGCGAAGCTCAAATTTTGGAGTAATGAAGTGTATAGCGCCGGTGAGGAGGCTAAGTTCCTTGTCCTGGTGGAGGGAGAGGCAGAGGTTGGGCTGGTCAAGCACTGCCCTGGCGATGATAGAGCGGGAGTCACCAGCCATGGGGGTGAGGAAGGTGTTGAGGAGTTGCCTGGCGGAGGGCAAGGGCTCCTCTTCACGGAAGGTGCCATGCGCCGCTCCCAAATTTAAAACTGTCCACACTAACCTTTGAAACGCTGATGAGTCAAGGGCTGACGCCGCTACCAGGTCGTGACACATGTATCGCAGCAGCGCCCGTGCCACCCCAGCCATGGCAGCGGTGGGTGCCAACGGCATCTCGTCAGACAGAGATCGTGGTCCATCACTCTCAATTTTTACTGTTAGGCTGAGTGGTGATTCTTGAGGTGAGCCAGGCTGAGCGGCATGGGCGGGAGCTGGAGAGTGGGCGCGCACCGTGGGCGGTGGAGAGTCGCCCAGGCGTGGGCGCAAAGCATCGTCAGGAGGTCGGGAGTTGAGGTCGGTAGCCGAACAGCGGTGCCGTAACAAGCCACCTGTGCCGCTGTACTTGGTGTAGGTGACCACCTTGAGGCAGTGTTTACACGCGGCAAACGGTCTGATGACGCCGTCGACACACACCACAGAGAACCTTGACCACACGTCAGAGATGTAGTGTGAGCCCGCCGCGTCCTTCTCTGAAAGGGTGATGCGTGAGGACCCGCTGCTCACCAGTTGTTGCACCACCTCCTTGCTCAGCCCCCCGCCCTCCTCCGCTCCGTCTTCGTGGCTACGCACGCGCCCGCCATACCTGCTGGGGGACACAGACTCTCGTAGGTCTTCGGGTACTGCGCCGTCGCTGGTGTCCGCGCGCTCCTTCTTCACCCTGGCTCGGCCCCACGAGGAGCTGCAGGCCTCGCCCGGGCTGGCGGGACTGCGCGCCCTTCCCTCCTGCACCGCCGCCTCCAGCCGCGTCCGCTTGGCCTCCTGTTCTTCACGCTCCCTCTCACGCTGATGATGTTGTTGTTGTCTGTGGAGGTGTTCTAGGTGTGAATGATGGAGCTGCTGATGTAGGTGTTGTAGGCGCTGAGGGTCAGCGAACAGCCCTGTGGCGTTGGCTAAGTTGAGGGCGGTGAGTGGGTGTGCCGCAGCAGCTGCCACTAACTGAGGTATCTGCAGGAATCTCAAATCAATGGGAAAAGATGGTGGTGGTGCGCCAGCCTTCCGTTTCCGACTCCCGACGGAGGCGCTGCCGGTGGAGGTGGTGGTTGGCTGGGCAGCGGTGGGAGGCGAGCCCGTGCTCGTGGGCGAAGAGCGCGAGGCCGTGGTGGTGAGGGACACGGGTGAGGACCTAGCACTCCCGCCATCACTGTAAGATGGCACCTCACACTTGACAGATATGACATCCTCCTTGACGCTATTATCACTTAAAAATGTGTCACCTTTGATGTCGCTCTTGAGGCCCGCCGCCGTCGTGTCCACCGGCAGGTTGAGCTTGGCCGAGAGCTTGACGGCGCGGTTGACCGGGGACCTCTCCGACAGGGGGTTGCATGGGTGGCGCAGGAGACTGGCTGTCCCACTCCGCGAGTCGCAATGTAACACTCGAAAACATACCTTGCACACGGCGAACGGCCGAATCACATGGTCCACTCGCACACGATAATAGAATTTCCAAGCATCAGCGCGCGCTTTTTGGTTGATCTCCAATTCTAAACGATCAGAATGCTCTAATATCAACCTTTCAATAAGCGTCTTGTCCACGACCTCTGTCATATTCGCACTGGCCCACGCCAAGCACACAACTGGCTCGGGTAGGTGCGCGTGCGTGAGTGTACTGTAGAATGTGTCACGGTCACACGCACGACTAGGAACGTGACGGGAAATTTATAACAGATCGTTCTAGCGGGATATATACACCTTGCAAATATATTCCATTTCTCAAAAAATATCAGTTCTATTTTCACAATTCACGCTTATAATGAAATAAAACACTGCACATGATGACGAAGAAATGGGAAACACACACTGGTACTTCTTGAAAACTCATAAAAACAAGTCCGTCTGAGAGTAGCGTGCGCGCTGGCTAGAACGCACTTTGGCCCGGGAGCCGCTGGATGTTGATTCGTCACGGAGGCGGGTGAGTCAATACGCGGCCCCACGTGACGGGATCAGCTCTCCTCACTCCTCACGGCTCCTCACGGCCTCCCCCTACGCCGTCCCCTGCCCCTTCCCCTCGTCCTAGCCCTTCACTCACGACATAGTGCGTTAGGGGACGAGGCGACACTTGGCGAACTATCACTGTCGCCAACACTCGGCGCGTTCGTAGCGCCAGCTGATGAGTGAGTGCAAACGTAGAAGGGTGAGCCTCGCCAACACCTGATCTGCTGATATTTACACACTGAGTGAGAATCACAGTAGATGGCTCAGTTTTCCTCGAGCAACAGTTGAAATATTGACACCACAACACTGCTTTAACACGGTATTTACATCACGGTTCACTGTGCGGGACGTTATACGCGGGCTTACGTGGACCCCGCTAAGGTGAGTTACATAAATGGCGGAGCTATGCAGGCCCATAAACAGCGGTGGCCGGTGGTGGTGGTCAGGCCAGCCCCGGGCCAGCGGGCCAGCCACTGATGTTCGTCATGTTCTGTTGTAGTGCGTCCCTCACCCCACGACACTTTCATCAACACTGCTGCCTCTACGGTATCTATAACTTGTCACCAGTGAGGAAATAGTGAGCAGACGGCGGCGCGGTGGAGTAGGTGCTGGCCAGCTAAGACAACACCAAGCTAACCGTACCCAGGAGTGAGCGAAAATGTGTGGTGATGTTGTGGTGGGGCGACGGAGCGGCTCCTCCCTCCGTGGGGCGACGCGGGGTCGGCTGGGCGGCGGCAGGCAGTGGTCATGCCTCCAATACTAATTAGGACCGGACCGGCCAGCCAACCAGCCAGTCAGCAAGGCTCCAAACCTCCTCAACTACCCACCATCTTCCTCATCGTCATCTTCCTCCTCCTCCTACATCATATCTCCTCTTCCTCCTCCTCCTACATCATATCTCTTCTTCCTCCTCATTCTGCTTCTCCTAATTTTTAAAATGTAGCGTTTTCGGGTAATTTTTCACCCCCAGTTTGGACAACACCCATCGCTCGTTACTGCGTTAATCACCTGTTTAGCCGGTGGTACTCGTTATGCTCATAATTATGTAACTTTAATGTCGCCTTTATGACTTTGCCAAGAATATAACAAGAAAAATGTGAAACACTTAGTGGGCGAGAGTTGTGGTCGAGGAGGGTGTTTTTATTGCCAAGTACTGAGTCTCCTCCATGAATGAACCGCCATTCACACTCATTCTTCAAATGCACTAAAATATTTCTCGATGTTGAGTTAAGTGTAAACATCGATGCTACATAATGTTAGTAGATGACGTTAAGCCGCAGGTGAGGAGGAGGGCAGCAGATGTGGGGTGGTCATCACGGCAAGATGGCTAGAAATTGAGCCTTACACGAGAGCCACGCAACGCCCCAGGAATTTGTGAGAGTGTGCGTGACAGGCGAGGGACAGTTGCCAGCTGGGAGGAGCCGCGTCCTGGACAGTCATAGCCTGACGAGAACCTTAGTGACGGAGGATGAAATGTGAAGGGTGTGTGAGTGTGGCGGGCGGGAAGGTGTGGCACAGGAGGGCGACACTCAGCGGTGGTGGTGGGCAAGGGTTCGTGACGGGCAGGTGTTGCCAGCAGTGGGCCCGTCCCCTCGCCCAGGGGAGCGGCAGGCCGCCACCAAATACCAGGCTTGATGCACCCCAGCCTGTCATCTTGCTGCACACCACAATACTTTAGTATGCCATTACTGCCTCCTCAATATTGCTCGCTGTAGATAACTCAAAGTTGCAGTAAAATTGGTCATATCAAGATTCCTGGTAAGGCGGGAGAGTTGAGCGGACCTCCTAGGGCTGCACATGATACATGGCAGCCAAGAATCTGCCAATTGCAACGTGACAAAAAAGTAAGCCCGGGGCCTGACGGGCCCAACCCCTTGCATGCTTAGGTGCAGGAGGCGGTGCACGGATGTGACCCGCAGGAAAGCTGCTATTCCGCCCTCACCAAAGTACCAATTGAGGCCAAATACCACAGCAGCCGGGCCGACCGGTCCACTACCTGCCCTACCTGAGGACATGAGCCGCCGTCCCGGGCAGACCAGGGGGGCGGGGGAGCCCGGCTGCACGTGACGGTACCAGCCGGGAACCATGGTGGACCACCAACCTGCCGGGGACCATGGCGGACCACCACGCCAGGGTACCTGGTGGACCAAGGTGGACCACTATGGGACCATTATGGACCACCGCGCCAGGGGACCATGGTTGACCACCACGTCAAGGGACCATTGGCGGAGTGACCGGCGCCCACGTCACCCGACGTGAGGGGTGGTCGGAGGGGGGTGGTCGGGGGGTGTAACCATGGGGTGAGGGGTGGTCAGGGTGTAACCACGGTGGTCAGGGGTAACCACAGGGAGAAGGGTGGTCAGGGGGGTGTAACCACAGGAGAAGGGTGGTCGGGGGTGTCCAAGGGGTGAGGGTGGTCAGGGGGTGTAACCATGGGGTGGGGGTGGTCAGGGGGTTGTAACCATGGGGTGAGGTGGTCAGGGGTTGTAATCATGGGGTGAAGGTGGTCAGGGGTTGTAATCATGGGGTGAGGTGGTCGGGGGTGTAACCATGGAATTGGTCAGGGGGTGTAACCATGGGGTGAGGGTGGTCGGAGGGTGTAATCATGGGTGAGGGTGGTCAGGGTGTAACCATGGGTGAGGTGGTCAGGGGTTGTAACCATGGTGGTCAGGGTGTAACCATGGGGTGAGGGTGGTCGGGGTGTAACCATAGGGTGAGGTGGTCAGGGGGTGTAACCAAGGGGTGGGGGTGGTCAGGGGGTGTAACCATGGGGTGAGGTGGTCAGGGGGTGTAACCATGGGGAGTGGTCGGGGGTTGTAACCATGGGGTGAGGTGGTCGGGGGTTGTAATCATGGGGTGAAGAATGGTCAGGGGTTGTAATCATGGGTTGAAGGGTGGTCAGTGTAACCATGGGGTGAGGTGGTCAGGGGTTGTAATCATGGGGTGAAGGGTGGTCAGGGGGTGTAATCATGGGGTGAGGGGTGGTCGGGGTGTAACCATGGGGTGGTCAGGGGTGTAACCATGGGGTGAGGGGTGGTCGTGGGGGTGTAATCATGGGGTGAGGGTGGTCGGAGGGTGTAATCATGGGGTGAAGGTGGTCGGGGGTGTAACCATGGGGTGAGGGTGGTCAGGTTGTAATCATGGGGTGAGGGTGGTCAGGTGTGGGGGGTGTAACCATGGGGTGAGGTGGTCAGTGGGGTGTAATCATGGGGTGAGGGTGGTCGGAGGGGTGTAATCATGGGGTGAGGGTCGGGGGTAACCATGGGTGAGGGTGGGTGGTGTAACCATGGGTGAGGGTGGTCAGGGTGTAACCATGGGGTGAGGTGGTCAGGGGGTGTAACCATGGGGTGAGGTGGTCGGTGGTGTAACCATGGGGTGAGAATGGTCAGGGGTGTAACCATGGGTGGGGGGTGGTCAGGGGGTTGTAACCATGGGAGGGTGGGGGGGGTTGTAATCATGGGGTGAAGGGTGGTCAGGTTGTAATCATGGGGTGAGGTGGTCAGGGGGTGTAACCATGGGGTGGTCGGGGGTGTAACCATAGAATTGGTCATGTAACCATGGGGTGATGGGTGGTCGGAGGGGTGTAATCATGGGGTGAGGGGTGGTCAGGGGTTGTAACCATGGGGTGGTCAGGGTGTAACCATGGGGTGAGGGGTCAGGGGTTGTAACCATGGGGGTGGTCAGGGGTGTAACCATGGGGTGTGGTCAGGGGTGTAACCATGGGGTAGAAATTGGTCAGGGGTGTAACCAAGGGGTGGGGGTGGTCAGGGGTGTAACCATGGGGTGAGGGTGGTCAGGGGTGTAACCATGGGGTGTCGGGGGTTGTAACCATGGGGTGAGGGGTGGTCAGGGGGTTGTAATCATGGGGTGAAGGGTGGTCAGGGGTTGTAATCATGGGGTGAAGTGGTCAGGGGGTGTAACCATGGGTGAGGGGGTGGTCAGGGGTTGTAATCATGGGGTGAAGGGTGGTCAGGGGTGTGGGTGAGGTGGTCGGGGTTGTAATCATGGGGTGAGGGGTGGTCGGGGTGTAACCATGGGGTGAGGGGTGTAACCATGGGGTGAGGGTGGTCGGTGGGGGTGTAATCATGGGGTGGTAAATCATGGGGTGAGGGTGGTCGGAGGGTGTAATCATGGGGTGAAGGGTGGTCAGGGGGTGTAACCATGGGGTGAGGGGTGGTCAGTGGGTGTAACCATGGGGTGAGGGTAGTCAGGGGGTAACCATGGGGTGTGGGTGGTCAGGTATGGGGTGAGGTGGGTGGGTGTAACCATGGGGTGAGGGGTAGTCGGGGGGGGGCGTAACCATGGGGTGTGGGTTGGTATCATGTAGTTAAGGCCGACACTCACACTTAAGCGCTGCCTCTCGGGGGTTGTTCAACAGGGCTACAACTCAAAAGGTTTCACAGTAAAAACTTGAGCGTGACTTGTCCCGAGAGGCGGAGGGTTGACGACCAGGAGTTGAGGCGGTGTAGGTGGTGGTACCTGAGGAGGACCTGTGCGTGACCAGACCAGTGGGCGGGGACCAGAACCTAGACCTGGGGCAAGACCTGGCCTGGGGCACTCCTCGTGACCCACACCTCGCCCCCCTCACCACGCATATTGACCAAACTCACCAAATACTAGTGTATATACTGAATGTGTGTGTGTGTGTTTGTGTGGATGTGGGGTGTTCCAAGCCATGTCAAGGTGCGTTAACACCCAGGGAAGTGAGGTAACACCCAACGTCCACACTCCCGCATAGTGAACGTAGGGAAGGTGTAGGTGGTGAGGGAGGGAGGGGGAGGTAAGATAAGTGAAGATGATGTTGACTGTCTGCTTGTAATGTCAAGGAACGCCTGAGGCTGTTCTATCACCATCACCACTACTACCACCACCATCACCATCACCATTAATACAACTACCACCATAAAAACCACTACAACTACTACCACCACTAACTACCACCTAGTGTAGTTATTTTACCTGATGCTATCTGTATTCACCTGTGCATTTAGTGTTACCTGAGCACCTACTGTTACCTGAGCACCTACTGTTACCTGCACACCTACTGTTACCTGAGCACCTACTGTTACCTGCACACCTACTGTTACCTGAGCACCTACTGTTACCTGCACACCTACTATTACCTGCCCACCTACTGTTACCTACACACCTACTGTTACCTGAGCACCTACTGTTACCTGCACACCTACTGTTACCTACACACCTACTGTTACCTGAGCACCTACTGTTACCTGCACACCTACTGTTACCTGAGCACCTACAGTTACCTAAGCACCTACTGTTACCTGTGCACCTACTGTTACCTGTGCACCTACTGTTACCAGTGCACCTATTTATGTTAATGTTACCAGGAATTATAATTACTCCAGGTAAGTTAAATTAGGATAGGGTATGTTAGATTAGGGTAGGTTAGGTTAGGTTAGGTTAAGTTAGGTTAAGTTAGGTTAGGTTAAGTTAGGCTAGGTTAGGTTAGGTTAGGTTAGTTTAGAGATTGCTAGGCTGAGTTACATATATACAAGATTCTGGTTATTTTCTAATGGTTATTAAGTACAGAGAATAACTGTATATTTAGGTGTGTGGGACGCTTGGCAGGGCAGTAAGGGCAAGACAGGGTAGGACAGTAAGGGCAAGGCAGGGTAGGACAGTAAGGGCAAGGCAGGGTAGGACAGTAAGGGCAAGGCAGGGTAGGACAGTAAGGGCGAGGCAGGGTAGGACAGTAAGGGCGAGGGAAGGGCAGGGTCACGCACTAACCCCCCCTCACCCCCCAGCAGGTCACCGTGGTAGCAAGAACTGACCCTAAGCCACACAAGAGGTGCTAAGTAATTTAC